ACACACGGGCAATCCAGCGCAATGAGCACATCTAATAGGCTGAAGTTTTCTCCAGGGACTGAATTCATGCTGTGTTGCTGAACAGCGTGACTGCTAAAGCGGCGTATGCCAAGGTGTAGCGGGACGAAAGCCTTTGACAGGATCACATTTGCCTCTAGGCTGAAACACAAGGCAGCTTTCCTCAGCTCAAAATTTACAGAGTCAATTCTTCCACATCTCTTTTGCCATATATCTGCAGAGACGAGCGGCACGGTTCCAGCATTGTTGTGCAGATGTGTATGGTGTGCAAAACTTGTGTGTATAAACAGCAAAAAAAAAAAAACCCTCTTAATGGCATTTTAAAGCCTTTCTGCTCGTTTAGAATGATTGTTACTAATGAAGATCAACTAGTTTCGAGGTCTTTAATCAAAGCTTATTTTCTCGATGGTATCGGAATGATTCCCCGTATTCAACATTCAGCCATTGTCAGTTTTTTTTTTCCTCGATATTTCCTGGATCAAGTGAAACGGGACAGGAAACCAGTAAAACTACAAAGCGTGCATACCTCTGCCAATGCCACAAATCCCCTAAATTTGTTATTATAATCAGTTTTTTCAGTTGCTTCTGGATCAAAATCTCCATAAAGTCAGTGATTGATAGCAGTGGGGTTCATATGGCAGGTTTTTCCCCCCATTCAAGTACGCCCAGTAGTTTATTAGAAAATAGAAGAAATGTCCTCAAATGCAAAGTGAAAATTTCTTTTGAAAAATCCTGGATCTACATCACAAAACCAGGCTTTTCTATTATTTCGTATTGTTGCTTTACTTTCCAACAGATGTCAGTGAATTCTAATGGCAGCTTTCTGAGATATCTCACTAAGCAAAAGACAAACAAACAGCGCAGAAATCCCAGCGACAGGTTTAATTAAAATATGTTTTCAGGATAAATATGAATGTAATTTACTTAATGACGGACATTTTTGCCTTGTGTGTGTGTGTGCTCCTGTGTTGGTGATTGAGCTTCCAAAAGGCTCTTCGGACCAATAATGGAGAACATACTTTTGTATTGATCCCAAAATTAGATTGGAAGGGGACTGACCTTTTTCTGACATAGCCTCTTTGATCAATCCAACATGTTTTCCAGACAACAGGGTTACACCCGAGCATGAGCTGATTGTAGTCAGCTACATAAGATGCTCTTTCCATTGCGATTTGCTCCACATCAATAACATCTGTTGAAAATAATGCTGATTTGAATAACCTTTTCCAGCGCTTTGTGTGTTACATGAAGGCAGCCGCCTAAATGGGCCCGTCTTGATACAAATAACCTTCCTTGGAATCATGGGACTTTAAATAAGAAGCTTGTCTAGGCCCTAATAAATTCAACATGTTACTTTCACTCGCCATCGTTTGACCTCTTTGCCTCTCTGCATCTGCTCGTATGCTTGTCCATTCATTCACTAATCACTGTCCTTAAGGGAGCAACAATAAAGAGGGATACATCCACCGGGGCTATTGTTGTGGCGAGGATCATGAGAGGAGGCGCAGCTGACAAAAGCGGTAAGCTGATAGACTCTTGATTGCAAATATGCTTCCATTCATCCTCGCTTACATTAGGTTGCAGAAACGCTGTGATTGTACATTTCCATGTTTTAAAGAAAAGCATGAGGTACAGGTTTCCATATTAATCTCCAATGCTTTGAAGGCCTCATCCATGAAGGCGATGAGCTGAGAGAGGTAAATGGAGTCTCACTAGAGCACAGGAAGCCAAAGGAAATCCTTCCTCTGCTGGTTAGTCTCACATGTTTTTTCTCATTAAGCCACCAAAACCAATAAACCTTTCCACTTCACTTAAACTTTCACTTCTGTAAAAAAATTCTTGTTCACCTAATTACAATATTTCTGAAAGGTTGACAACATTTTTTGGTTTTGAATAGATTACAGTAGCGTGTTTCTTACCTAACACAAGGCTGGGTTTGTGAACTGGAACTCTTTGCTCTGTTAGCCAAATGTGTTAACACCTGCGCTATCAAATGAAGAGGACTTGGCTGACAGTTAGCTAAAACATCATGTGCCATCATCCTGCCATTCCGGCCAGTTCAGCAGCCCACTAAAAAGCAGATAATCTTATGGGGTCCAACCAATCTCAAATATTCAGTCTAATGAAAATACAAGCGATGGTGATGTAAATCTTTGAAATTTTTATTCCAAAAACATAAACAACACAAGCTATTTGCAATAAATTGCTACCCAGTCATGTGCAAAGTGTTAAGGCCAACTTGTGACACCAACTTCAATACAAGAGCAATAAATTTAGGTTGGAGTAAAGAGCAATATCACAAGCTAACCACATTTTTTTTAAACTTTTCTTTGAGGTAAAATTTTGT